CGAGACATAAATTTCACTGTTTTTATCCTTCATATTGTTCACATTCATTCTACAAGCCATAACTAACGTCTCCAGTTCAGTCTGATAGAGGGTGACACCTGACAAGCGTTATACAGTAATTGTATGCCCATCAAGTCTCATTGCCACACGATATTCACCACATAGTTTGAAATTCCTATCTGACGGACAGTAAACACAGTTCCGTGCCTGATATCAGTTGGAACTTGTATCAATATATCATTTTAAAGCAAACATGTCACTCTGTTTGTGTTAATACTCCATGTTGTTTGAATACGATAGTGTCTTATTACTTTATCTTATTTGTGGATTATCTTCGTATCTGCGGGATTTGTAGAAAGCTGTCAGTCTGTTTGTAGCTATTTTTATTGGTTTGTTTGTTCTGTTAACATCTTCAGCATTGCATCAATTCTCAACATCGTTATTGTAATGTGAAATTTGAAATCGGAGCTCCCAATATGTTATTTATAGGCAAGGAAGACCCAAACCTTTGCCACCGATTGCATCCATGCAAGCCACCGACTGTCTTTACAGTTTTCCAATATTCGATACCATAGTTCCCATTTACGAAAGTATAATGTAGGTCAAGTCATTAAAACATAAACCAGAGACTACATTTCTCATTATTAAATAAGTATTCACACTCCAGTAATGTCGTGTTGAGATAAACATTCAGGCTTACACCGCAAGGATTTAAATTAATTACATTAAGTTCTTGTATACAGATAAAAACCGCAAATTAAAACAACAGAATATTAAACCTCGATTGACGGAGCAATTCATGTATTCATCCCGACGGAATGCGAATAAATTACAGTTTGAAACATAAAATTATTAAACCCGATAATCGATAACGAGTCGATTATAAATTATTATCGATTACGAATAAACGATTCGGTCACCTTAAAAGGTTTCTGACATTTAAAAATAATTGTTTAATGGAATAAAATGGGTAATTCGATAGATGATATTTCATCAATTATTGTCATTTAAAAACGACTATGATTAATGACGCTTTCTTTAAGGTTTCATTACGTTCTTGCAAAAATCCACCGTATAATGTTATTCCATATTATTCGAAGAGTAAAAAGGGGTATTATCACAGTTTAAATAAAATAATAGTTGGATAGCTGAGTACGACATAATTACTCATCTCTAAAATTCGCTGCTAGCAAAAATTTATGATTTTCACATATTATTACTGACATTAAAAAAAATTAAAAACAATAGAATGTTGTTGTTTTCATTCCTATTTAGGTGGAATAGGCTTTTTGGAAAATATGTTTTCTAAAGCTGACCATTCACGGCTAAAGACTTCCATAAACTATGAGAGCCGTCCCAAATCACCGTAACACTTAACGCAGACTAGCGAACATATAACAGTGGTGAATAATAGACAACGTTGATTAATTATTATAATCCCTTGTCACTCACTGACCGACAATATTAATAAGGTAATTTATAATTAAATAACTTGCGAAACAGGCCTTGTAGGGTTTGTAATCGTTTGAAATAAATATTACAGGCTGGTAAGAGAACAAAGAGATCGTAAATAGTTAATAAATATGAGATATGTATTATGTATAGGTAGAAAGAACACTGTAGAGTATCGCAGGACCAATTTTTGCTATTAGCTGGTTTTTAATACTGGAGAAGATACATTCTATAATCACGTGCGTTTTAATAACCTTTTTCCTTTCATAATTTCTCTAAAAAAGTTATACTAAAAATGGTTTTAAGTTTGGTTCAATGTACAGACTAAATACTAAAATAGAAGATTTGCGTGTAAGTAATACATATAACTTCTTGAATTGATAATTTTTTACGTTGTCACCTTGTATGCTAAGCCAAACATCTAAAGCACAATTTGTTCAAATTGAATATGGTTTCTTTTGTTTTATCCCTTCTAAACAGAAATTCAATTCCAAGATTGTTATAATATATCACAGGTCGAATGCTCGACGCGACGCTACACAGAAATCAGGGAGCAACCCCACCTAATGCCACAGTACATCAAGTCCTTTCCTGGACAGGTGGTGAAGACACAGCTGGTGAAAAAATCAGGCCATATGACTTACCCATAAATAGCGGCTGCGCCTGCGATGGCCCCGCCGCACTGCGCGGCGACGTACAGCGCAGCTCGGAGCGGGGACACGCGCCGGCGCACGCATAGCGCTGCCGATACCGCCGGGTTCACGTGAGCACCTGTACAATAATGTGTATTTAGTATTCAAAGTATATAATTATTATGTATGTTATAAATGATACTCAAATGAACATCAAATTCCATACAATTCGGGCGAAAGGTGAGTAGGTAATTGTTACTTTGTTAAAAGTACCTAACCTCTGACTACCCTTTAGGATGAAATGCATGCTATTGTGTAACACATCCATTAAGTATCTACTATATTTTTTACTAGCTAATTCCGCGCGGATCCACTCGCTCTGCTCGGCGCCTATTAACCGTAGCGTGATATTTTATAGCCTTCCTTGATAAATGGGCTATCCAACACAGAAAGATTTTTTCAAATCGGACCTATAGTTTCGGAGATTAGCGCGGTCAAACAAAAAAACCAACTCCTCAGCTTTATAATATTACTATAGATTATGATAGCTATTATCATATGCAATACGTTCGTAAATCAATTATTGGGCAAACCTCAAGACTGGTTATTGTCCTTCTAGAATGTTTTTGAACGCAAACTAGTAAATATCGATATCGATATTCAATCCATACAATAACCCTATTCTTTAAGCTCCGGCAAAAATAATAATCCTAAGACCTTCACACGAACATATTTCACTATCCGAACTAAAAAACTACACAGAATTCATCAAACACATTTAATCTATTGTTAGTTATTTTCAGTGAAACTTTCAGGAGGATTTAATAACCGTTGCCTGGCAGGGAGAGAGGAGGTCGTTGTTTGAGGACCGGAGGATCAAGGGAATGATAAAGTTGGGATTGTACTGATCAACATTTGAAGTCTAAAGCTCTGGCAACAATAAGCTTTTGGTACAAACTTTACAATTTATTTACCTAAGCTTAACAAATTGTGATTTATTTATTTTTGTCGAGTATTACTTTGGTACGATGTCGCATAATGGGTCTTTATGAGGAGATTAAAATTGATGTGAGCTCTGAGCAATTAATTTTGGTATTAGTATGACCGTATGACATGTGACGTGTCGTACGACAATTACCACCAAATGTACGGCGACATTCCTTTGTTTTGTTTTACACGAAGAATTTTTAAACAAATATGTTTTACTATTGGAATATTGTGAAGGTAAGTAAGTACAAGTAGTCTCCAATGTTGTTGAGACAGACAAGGGAAGAAAGTGGGTTAGTGATGATAAAACACCAAATTTTTATCAGTGTAATAAAATTAAAATATTTTGATTGTATTAAAGGAGTGTTGCTACTATATTTTTTCCATTGAAAACACTAAATCACCTAATTTTTTAAGGTGGAAAAATTATCCTGATTCTTATCCCACCTTGGGTGAGGCGACAAAATGTCAGATTCTTACTGAGTAAAAACTATCCCGTTCCTACTTCTGCTTTCAGCCGGAGCCCCGGCAACCCGGTAGGTCGTCCGCAGCTCTCTAGCTGAAAGTCAAGTTCATAACCACTGCGTAGCGTAGTACACACGGCTACACATCGAGCTTTACATAACCAGTATACACTGAACGGTAAATGTGCGGAAAGATGATGCGACGCGACACCGACACATTGATGTGTAGCCGTGTGTACCTACATTATTGTTCAGTGGTTCTGTGTATATTACCAATATTTTATTAATAAAACTGTCCATAATTAACTACACATGGATATTATAATTTCTGGTTTTAATTACAAGTTTGTTTATTTACAGGTAGGTGTGTGAATTGTGGCTCATATTTTATTTTATATCTGGTTTCTGTAGCTGTAATTATTGTACCGAATTTATGTATGCGTGGGTACAGAGTACCTACCAACTTACTGGTTTAATAAATACCTACGTTTTATCCACAATATATTTTGTAATTAAATATTTTATTATTTGGTTATTATGGAATATTCATGGAATAGGTTTTATAATGCAAAATAATGGTTGCTTTGACACATAACAAACAGAAAAACACGGAACACACGCGGCGCTAACAAACTTCCCTTTTTCAGAATACAAAGTCATTACACACCAAAGTAACATTTCAACACCGACTTGATTTGGTGTCGCACATAATTTTCACCTTCACATTTCCTTTGTATTAAAAGAACAAGTCGTACAAAAACCACCATTTTGTCATTGACATAAAACATATTTTTACATAGCAATGCAATCAGAGAGTCCTTAAGTACGTAATGAATTCGGCCCCGTGGCCCGTTGGCCAGCTGTTACGGTGCTGACTAAGTACTCTACGATTATTCCCTGAATTTTCCCTCCCACATTAAAATATTGTTTTCGTAAAATCTAACTTATCTGCGAAGCGTACGTTCGGAATAACAAATTCAAAGGCGAGATAAAATCATCCACGTTAGTATTCGCACCGAATATTCGGTCCCATGTCGGAGTCGGTGGAGGAATCACCATAGTGGCCACGCGATAATGGCTGGCCGGATGTTTACCTGCGTTCCGGGTAATATAATAGCTAAGATACAGTAGATAGCCTTGAGGTGTGCCACCCCCGGGTACTGCAGAGAAATGCGATATCAAGAACGTTAACACTACGTGCCCAGATGTGTCAATATGAATATCCAACACAATGCGTAGGCTCAAACATTATTGTTTTATCTACGCGGAGGATCACACAACCTTCTGGGTTATCAATATTCAAAATCAATTTGAACATTAAACAGAATCATGTATAAACCTGTACTGGCATAAAGTAACGCGAGTACGGAGAGGAACGCAAAAAATAAAATGGAAACAGGTGGATTAACCGATGCGACGCGACACAGATATATCGAGTGCAAAGTCGAACTACTACGCTTATCGATTATTCAGATTGTGTTACGTAGCTCTCAGTGAACCAGGGAATATCACCAACTGTGTGTACAGCCTCCGGCGTGATACGATCTACAAAAAAGAACAAAAGCCTAACATCTGTTTTATATAAACTACGTCACATTACAATACCAACACAGATAGAATAAACGTGGGCTATTTTTACGTTGAAGTTTTAAGAGACAATATTTTTGACAAAGAACTTTTATGACGTACTCCTTCGGGAATCGTGATACCAAGTTATTTCTCACAAAAATCTGATTTATAATACTGCTCTCTACGCTCTATAACATCGCAATAAAGACGAATTATTTATCGTTCTTTAAAACTCCCGACAAGTTTTAAAGGAAGCTCAGTTGACAATACAACTTCTTGCAGTCTACTTCCTGAGTACACATTGATAAATGAATTCAGCATCGAGCGTCTAAAATAAAAGAACGAGCACAAACAAGTACTCAGAACTAAAAAGGAATCTTGACAATAGTGCCTTCTTTATACTTCTACAGACAGCCACAACTGAGCTTATACTAGGTTTAAACATATCTCCCATTATAATTTATGCATCGATTGTAGCTGTACATTAGTCCGCGCTCGAAATAGGGATGTCCACTTGTCCAGCCATTAGTGAAAATTAGGGCAACTCGGTCGAGGGTGTATTCTAAAAATTCATCACGGTAACCGCGAACATTGTAGATGCAAGAATCGTTGCCCGATTGTGAACAAGAGAGCTTTCTCCGGGTTATTGTTATTTTTGATATAATTTAAAATGTCATTGTCCCGCGTCATGTGATCGCCATTATAAAGTTATATCGAGGGGACAAAGGGTGAAGGGTGCACGTGTTGGATAGGTTACAATAATCCCGCCTATCGTGCTTAAATGTCATGTAGTTTTATGGGAAGTCGCGTCAAAATTGTCTATCCGCATTTAATTTAACTATTATTAGTTTCTATATTAATGTTTTTATTACACAAGGCGAATAATTATTTACGTTTAAGTAGGTACCTGGGTACACTTTACGCCTTTTATTCTTATTCCTTTGCAAGTTAAAATTCCATTCCAAAATAAGCCTAGACATTTAAAACATAGCGTAACATTTCTTACAAAAAATACAATCAGTAAGAACCTACTTGACGGGTAAAAACTCAAGACTTTCGCGCTGCAGCCGCCATGGCCGCGCCGAACCTTTTTTGAAAAAAAGACGGATAATTGTGAACATCTGCACGCTGCGGCTCGGTCCGTAACTCATCCGAGCGCGCGACGGCCTGTGCTATCAAACGCGTATAAATTACCAAACGGTGCAGGGTTAATTGGACCCTACACACGACACCGACCATTTCGACCCCAACTATGTAACTATCGAGTAAAAACACAGAAACAAAACCGATACTACGGATTCCATTTACAGTTGATACGCCATGTCTCAAATACTCCGACAAAATGAATCGTAAAACAAAACACCCGCTACAGTTACTGGATCATATTGAATGTACAAAAAAGATTTATATAGGTACGGTAGCTTATGTTATGTTGGAATATATCAATACTGAATCCAGGCTTACGTAGTGCCTTCTGGAATATTTTTGTGGTTCATAAAATCCGAGATGAACAGAGTAGGTACCTACCAATATTGTACAAAATAAATGTTTCGGTACTGTAATAACATTCCATTACTAGGTAAAAAGTAAAAAAAATTAAAGCAGAAGCGCCATCTGCAGTATAATTAACAAAGAAGTTTTTATACTTCTTATTTTATTTACGGTAAAGGAAAGGATCATAAGGATTGCGTTAACCGCGCAATCACTTATTAAAAAGAAACAAATAAATATGCAAATGAAGGGTCTCCCGTCCCACGTTAACATTGGATATTATAAGTTGAAATAACATTGTAACACGTGGGCGCCCATCTTTTATTTTCCTTGTCAATTACGGCGCGCATTCCTCGATTCCTCGTAACTTGTAATTCCAAGTTCCCACAGTAATGTAATCGTACTTGTCCTTTATTTCTTGAAAGCTATTTTAGGACTACCTGTCCTATTTTATTGGCATCGTCGAGCGCTCCTGCTAGTTGACAAGCTTTGAAACCTGCCGCAATAATATTATGGTTGCGTCGCGGGCGATTTATGAAAAAGTTAAAAACAATATCATTTAATTAGTGTGGGAAGACTTGTCGTTCCCTAAGAAATTCTGATAAGCAGTCGGTTCATGCACAGGAACTATTGGTGTCATATGTCATCTTTACAAATTTTACAAAGGTATGGGTTCTCCTAACTGGCGCTATTGTTTGAACAGATTGACTGCAACAAAGACAGGCGTGCCGTAACACAAAGCATAACAAGCAAAAAATGCTATTGACACAGGTACAAAAACAGGGATTTACTTCCACAAGACAAGCTCTGCTTAGAACGCTGCTACCTTTAAATGTGTTTACATTTATCATTTTCTGGCTTGTTTTGGCGTCACTCAAGTAGGTAGTCTATTTTGACATACGTAACCTGAAAAACGATACTTGACTGAGTCTCACCAGATATGTTAGCAAAGCAGAGAGTGAGCGTCGCGATGGCACAGCCTGAAGCGAGCGCAGTAGAGAGCAGCACGGCTGAGGCGGAGGCTCCCACGCCCGCGCCACCAGCCGCCCCGCACACGATGAACACATACAGAAAGGAGGCCGCGCACTCTGCTACCACTGCCTTCCACAACGAAAGAGTCCGCACTTCCACCCGCGCCGGTACCCTCCCCGACAGACCCCCATCACCAGAGTTCGCATCCTTTCGTAAACACTCCAATTTCTCAAACAAAGTAACGATATGCTGTTCTAAATTTTCATCCGATATATTAAACGCTTGTTCTCCCATTTTTAAAAGAAAAAGTAAAACTAGATACACCGTTTAATCTCTATGCATTTTCAAATTTCGTAGCGCGCGCGATTTACTTACGAACCACTTTCCGTAAAACGGCCGACAAACGACGCGATCCGCGCGGCCGTCAGTCTCGCAATGCCGGCAGGCCAGTGAATGAAGCGAGTGAATGGGAGGCAAGCGGGGGCGCCGCACATGTCCCGGCCGCCCGACACTTGTTACACCCCGCCCACAAGACCTGCACTTTCAGCGAGGGTGTAATCAAATCGCCGACTTGGCACCGCACTATTACAATACATTTTAATTGGACAAAAGTATTTACATTTATTTTTTAACCCTCGGAATATGCAGCATTGGTTATAAAAGACCAATTCTTTTTGCGTCACATGTAAATCAACAGATGGGGCTTGTAGTTTGTAGTGTGTGATCTGTTATATTGATGTTATTACCCTTCTCATATGGTTAACAAAGATAATAATTTCCCGACTGAGCTTTTCGCTCAAGTTTTACAGCTCTCACCATCTCTTATGTGGGAATATAGGCATGTGTCAGGATAATGGGTACTTTAGGGAAGCGCTTTACATTACACTTCGGTTGTAACTCCAACTTCGAGACAACCGACATAAATACTCCAGAACACAGTCAACTTCAGGGTGACTTAAACGCTATAATCCGCGGAGAACGTAATCCTCGCCTTTGTTGAGTCCCTAAAGCTCGGAGATATGAATAGAAAGACGAAAACAATATTACTCCTACTTACGGAAATCCAGTTAGAAATTAGAACTTATTGCTGTCTGAGGAAACCTAAAAAAAATATAAGTACTAGATTTGTAATTGTACGAATTTTTTAGTCGTATGGAGCACAGATGATTGTCAAAAGAGGTCAGTGCCCAATCAAGTGGGCGAGACCTTGCATCACAATTTGATTAGTGTCCCGCATCGGCCAGAGACGCTCGTAAATTCATTAATCATTTAGTTTGTGGGTACCAACTACCAGCACTAGCAGGTATCTAAATCTCAATAAAGTGTCACTTGAACTAAGTCATTCGTCCTTTATCTGACTGAAATAGATGATTCACTTGCCGCCTTGTTTCTTTAGTGATCGCCGAGTTTGGTAAAGGTATATAATATTATAATATTGACCGATGTAATAGTTTCGGTGTTTTTGGGCAAATTATTAACTAAGTTGACTGCCTCGTTGGCCGAGTGGTCGCAAGTGCGACAAAGGGGTAAAGAGTCTCAGGTTCCACTCCCGGGTCGGGCATACTTTGCCCTTTTACTGGGTTTTTTCAATAAATCTCAGTAGTAACACGGAGTCTGGAAATGTGCCCGGTATATGGCAATAGGCTCACCCCCCTATTACATGGGACGCAAGTGAAAAGTGGGTGTAACATATTTTTTTAAAAACTCAGTAATACTTTGCCCGACCCGGGAATCGAACCCGAGACCCCTTGCCCGGCAGTCGCACTTGCTACCACTCGGCCAACGAGGCAGTCCAGTATACTACAGTATACCAGTCCAGTATACTACAGTATACCAGTCCAGTATACTACACTTGTAACCGTTATATCCACAAATATTAAATCAAAAACTTTTATCCCAAGACTTTCTCACGTTTATTTTATCACTTTGTAACTATATATCTAACGATTCCTAGTAGGTATCACGATGACATGAAGTGGTCTACTGTCGAGGCTCATCCATAAAGTACTGAGAAACGAGTATGAAACCCGATAGTGTAGGAGTACAGTTCATGACGAAACTGTTAGACTTTAAGTAACATTAGACATTGACGTGTTCGTAACATGCTTTCCTAGCAAATTAAGACAAAATTGAATTACTTATTAGCATTAAAGCTAGATTGTAATTTTTTTATGATGTTGCCGTATGAGGTCACGTCATATAAACAAAAAAAAAAATGTTCAAAACATTGCGGGAATTATTCTAGTGTTCTTTTTGTGTAATGATGTTAATGTTGAAATAGGTCTCTTTGATAATATTGGTGTATTAGTAATAAGCGTATTTAAGACAAGAATCTCGGAATGTGAGATAGTCGGCTGAAAATTTATGAAAAATCTTTATTTTGACCACATAATACGTGTCTCAAAACCAACTTATACAGTATGTATAGACATACTTGATGATCAAAGATAAAAAACAGTACTTTACTCATTAATTGCAAATATTTCGTTTCCTATATAGATTTACCTTCTACATTTTGTCATCATCCTCATAATCAGGACAGTCTGCCGGTCAGTTGTAAGCGGGCACACTGGCACACGACGTATTACTAAAGTAAATGACCCCTGAAATATCAGATTCCAGTATCTACACCTGTATATTGTAACAATTATTCATGTACTAGCTTTTACCCACGGCTTCGCTCGCGTCACAAAAGGATAAAAAGTAACCTATGTGACTATCCATCCCTTCAACTACCTTCAGTTAAAAAATCACGTTAATAAGTACCTTCGTTCTGCCGTTTAAGACAGGCAAACAAACAAATAGCTTTCCGCTCGCGTGGAATTCGGTTATATCGCGTTATTTAGATTTTTCCAATAAGTAGGTAATTCGTTGACTGGTTTTAAATGACATACAGCGCCATCTATACCAATATTTTTGTTTTCCCTCGGAAATATCAAATTTTTCCAGGACAAAAAGTACCCTATTATTTAATCCAGACTTTTAACTTTACCTACGTCAGCAAAATTTCAAAGCAATCGGTTTAGTAGTTACGGCGTGAAAGTGGAACAAATAAACAAACTCACTTTCCGATTTATAATATAAATAAGAAAATAAGATGTTCTTACGTATGTACTCTTGACTGTTATCATCCACATTAAAAGAAAGTTAATATGTATCTCAGTGTACGTGTGTTGTTGTAATGGTTAAGTTATCATCATCATCATTCATAGGTACCTCTTTTTTAAACTATATAAAACATTAAGTTTACCTGTAATTCTGCATGGATGTAAATCGCTCTACAAGTTTGGAGCATAAATGATAAACGGACACTGCAAATCTTATCTAGAATTCCAGATAAAGTTCATAATGCGACTTCCGACTAAGCTATGACTATCGATTAACCAGGATTGTATTATCCTCCAGGCAAAATAATAGACAAGTGCTTAGGGCGCCACGGTACAGAGAGGCGCTGCAAGACGCGCGTGCCTCACTGCCCATAAACGACAGAGGCGCCAATAAAAATAAGGGGAGCCTATATGAGCCTATAAGATGCTTCCCTATGGCGCTCTGTAAGTGTAATCCACCTCTGCGATTACTGCTTCTAACGTACGATGGCAAACAACTTTACCTAGCTTGTCTAATTTGACAATCAAAGCTAAAGTGCTGTTTATAGAAATAAAACACCAGTGTTTTTAAATTAGTAGCTTAGGTAGGTAATCGAAAACTAAAGTTAGTTAGATAATTAATTACAGTAATCTAACATTTACAATAAGTGTTTCTTTTGGGATTTATTTTCGTAAATCAATAACATGTTATGTTATATTATGTTATCGTAAATCAATCATAACGTTCGAGTTCGAGTGTTTATAAGAAAAATTACGATTAAGTAGGTATGATTCTTATTTATCGAGTAGAAAGGAAACGAAGCACAAATAGATGGATCTCCTCTTGGTAAGCGATCAGCGCCAGTCATGGACAACTACAACAGAAGTGCGTTGCTAGTTTTTCAACTTTCAAAGAACTTAGTTCCTATGAATTTATAACACTTATACCACACTTATACTCAACTTACAACGCCATCTATTGTAAGACTAAATCATATAAACTATTGTTTGATATTCAAATCTAATATCAGGCAATAGATGTCGCTCAAAACATTTCGCAAATGACAAAAGAGTAAGTAGCATTAGTTTTTTTATTGTAAATACATTATATAATTAATCATAAAAATAACATATATGAATTACAGTATTATAGATAAAAAATTATACAATTTTTCAATCCTTGAACAAATCTTTAAAAACGAATTACATTTGAACGTATCTGTTTTGATTGACAATGCTTTCGATTTGACAGCAGTGGAATCATCTGCGGCGCCCTCTGTCAATAAAATTTTGAAACTTATCGTAATGGTGGTGATTCTAGTAAACTACCGACTGATTGCATCTATTTTTATTTGTATTTTCTAATTAATTAGCATTAATTGTAATATTTAGTGTTGTGGCTGCGGCCATATGATGCTTTCTTATGTCGGGCATAGCTAAAACGCCAGTTTTGGCCGAGGAGGGTGGGAACAATCAGACTAGAAAACGTTCTCTCCAGACCAGCGAACAGTGCAATAATAAAAGAACAAAATCCGACGAAATGAGTGCCAATGAGAAGAAATCAAATTTTTCAATGTTGACTCCAAACTCCAATGGAAGCATTAAGATGACGTCGTCATCTATGAACAAGCCTGGTGCAGCGACGAAGAAATTGGTTATAAAGAATTTCAAAAGTGTGTTTACGCTATTATCATAGTCGTCATGATTCTAACCTATTTGACATCTACGGAGGCTAATGGCTGGACGTTGTTTTTAGGTAAGCCGAATCTTCCAGAAAACTATCAAGAGACAACATGGAGCAAGTTGCGGGAGGCCGTGATCGCCATCCAGACGTCCAAGGCGATCGCGTACTCGCTGGAGGAATTGTACCAGGCGGTGGAGAACATGTGTAGTCACAAGGTGAAGTACCTACTCCAACATACATAGCACCTTCTTTCAAGTTCACTGCCAAAAACAGCATAGCACTTATTATTATATCATTTGGCAGTAAACTATGCTGTAAACAACTATTGTAGGCATCTCTGAGTACCAATACCAACGTAAATTGATAATTTTGCATGATAACAAAGTTATCAAGACATTATCAACATTGTAGAATGTCTCAATTTTATTAATTCATTGCATGCAGTCATTGCAATATTTGATATAAAATCCACATTTTTATTCAAATGTATGCAAATTGTCATAGCGTCAATGCAATATATATTACCAGTTAATTTATTAGAAACAAGAGGACAAGTCGAGACATTGATATTACAATTAAAAACTTGTCTCATTAGCATTATGACATTTCTTATCAGATAAGAAATAAACATAGAGTAATATTTACAAATGCAACTGCATTGTGGGACCCTAGGTTTGATCTACAAGTCAATTTTGAGTATTTTTGAGTGTTCATAGTGACATAGTAATCAAAGTTTTACTTGAATATTGGTTTCACCGGTTTTATTACCTACTACAAATTATGAATTGGCTTTAATTGACATTTCACAAAATAAACATTAAATTTTATCAACTGACATACTAAGAAAAATCCTCTGCTTACATCACCAGTGAGATAAACTTGAACCACATAGCCTGTATAAACATTTATTCTATTCTATAATATATTCATAATATTATTCTATTTCTTAAAAACCTATTCATCTTTGTCACAAGCTTATATTTGCTATCTTTATCCATATAATAATAAGTTTTTACTGTTTTTCCTGTCAAAGGACTGCAGGAAGATATTTCTACATGAATGTGCAGTACCTAAGCACCTTCAATTTATTTATATATGTGATCTCCTGTGTGCTATCTGTGTGTTGTCCATAAATTCATAAATAAATAATTAGCTCTACACCTGCTGCTCTACATAAGTAGTAGGTTACCTACTCAACAACCATGTCACATATGACATACTTTCTTAGCACATGTAAAAATAGTAACATTTAGGTATTTCAAATCTATGGATAATGGAGAAAGCCATTATGCTAAAAAATATCGCATAATATGTGATAATGAACTACACACTAAATATTATTCTAAAACAGTGACCAGTCACAAAAGGTCAAGCAGCATCCTTCTAAATGTTTGAAGAACAATAATTTGCTTTTTCAAATTACCTGCGGCTTTGGGATTACGACAAATCCCTGCCTTGTACAGGATATGTTTATTCAGCAGTCTTCAGAGACATCTTTTTAATAGTGATAAAAATGTACTTACTAAACATATCTACTGGACCACAAATCTTTTCACAGTGTCATAATAAGAATATGAATGGAAAATTTAATTATTTCATCTGAAAGACACTTATGCCCGTTTTCACCAACCACCCCTAAACCATCTCTTAACTAAAAGTTACTTCTACTCTATTTTAAAGTATAGTTTTGTCACTACAAATTCTTTGGAAATGGATAGATACATGAATGGCACAATATTTATGTGCAACTTAATTGAGTACCTAGCTTTTCAGTATTCGAGCATTTGAGTGACTTGGCACCTAAACTAACATGTACTGTTAAGTGGCACTTATAGGTTGCTGTATCTTAGCTTAGGGGGTCTTTAAAATTTAGGAGAGGGTGGTGAAAGCAGGCATTAGTAGACACAACATAACATCTCGCCTTTTATCCCCGAAGGGATAGGCAGAGGTGCACATTACATGCAGCACTTAATGCCACTGTACAATGTATGAGTCACTTTTCATTATTTATGTTATGAGTCCCATGTAATAGGGGGTAAGCATATTGCCATATACCGGGCACAACTCCAGACTCTGTGCTACTACTGAGAATTTTTAAAAGTTAAAACTTAGTAGACTAATCACTACATAGTATAAAACAAAGTCGCTATTCGCCGTCTGTCTGTTCCTATGTATGCTTAGATCTTTAAAACTAGACAACGGATTTTGATGCGGTTTTTTTAGTAGATAGAGTGATTCCTAAAGTCGGTTTATATGTATAATACATGCATATTGCACCCGTGCGAAGTCGGGGAGGGTCGTTAGTATCTAATATACATATTGATTCAACTCTGTAAACACATCATCAGCCCATTTCCAACGAGTGTAACATAATTGACTCTCTACTTATTCTAGATGGCATCGCAACTTTATGTGAATCTTACGAACCTGGTGGAGGCGCACGTGAAGGCTAATATTGAGCAGTTCTTGTCTGAGAGCATGGACAGGCAGGTGTTCCTCAAGCGTATGGACGACTGCTGGCGCGCTCACTGCCGCCAGATGATCATGATTAGAAGCATCTTCTTGTACCTAGACCGCACATATGTTCTACAAAACCCTAGTATACATTCTATATGGTAAGTCTTAAAAAATAATTGTAGTACATTTAGGAATAATATATATATATTTTTTAACGTTAGTATTGCAATCTATCATATAGATATTCAGCAATATTTTTGTTAAATGCAGCAGACTTGTACGCGGGCTGTTCAGTGACTGCCCTGTTTATATTTATAACCACCTATATGAGGTCTTGAGGAATCTTTCTCTTTAGTCTTCTAGCGACTCTTTGGGTGTCCATCAGGTTTACTGCTAGCTTGTTTGGATGGTTTGTGATTCGGTCCTTGTACACTTTAGTCATTTTTTAAATTTCTTCCATTACAGTACTGATGCAGAGGTTGTGATGGAATAATAGGAATAATATATTTAGTTAAAATATGCATGGAATAAAAAAAATCACATGCTATATAATTTTAAACTATTTATGTAAGGAAATGTGTGTATTACTAAAAATTATATTAAATTTTCTTTCCAGGGACATGGGCTTGGACTTATTCCGGCACCACATAGCAATGAACACTCTGGTTCAGACCAGGACTGTGGACGGTCTACTTACTTTGATTGAGAGGGAGCGCGGTGGTGATGCTGTAGACATATCCTTGCTCAAGAGTCTGCTGCGAATGCTCTCAGACTTGCAAATATATCAAGACGCTTTTGAACACAAGTGAGTTATATTTAATATTATGATGTGATATATGATTGTGCATATTTGTAGGATAACTTTATGAAACATCGATTTAGTCTGTTGAAATTAATCCCCTGAATTTGTTTATACAAAAGTAGTCTCTAAAAATTGGAAATAAGGTCTATAATGTAGTTAGTGGAGAGCGGTCACCGGTGACCGTTTGGGGATGTATGGGTAAGATAGTTTTTGTTACACACAAACTGGTTGATCCAATTTGTTGTATTGGATTCTGGAGTGGTTAAAGATATACGAGTTCCGTTTTTTTACTAAGGGTGAATAGATTAGTTGGTTCATTGGGGCCGCCCAAAAAGAGCCCCGAACGCGTACTCGTTTCGATCACTTTAACTCGTTCTAAGGCCTTTGTTTCACAATGTCTGGTTAGCCGCTATGTACCATATAAATGTGAACATCATTTGTATGAACTATCTGTCACATAAGTTATCGAATACTTATTACTTATGAAGGTGGTGAAACTGGGTCAGAGTCCAGAAAACTTGTATCCATATTATTCTCAGTAATGACATGAAACCTAGGCTTGTGGGCGATGTGAATGGGATCATAAAATGTACGTGTTGTATTGGATACTAGTCAGCTATTTGTTTGGTCAATGGAATGTTATATTGTCATGTCATTAATATTTAATACTCTTCCTGTATGCCCACACCGTGTTACCAAAGAAGCGATCGATTTACCAAATAAGAATATTCTTATTCATTAATTGAATTACCCCTATGATAGTAGTATTGGTACCTTGCGGTTCCCCGAGTCACGTGGTACTTGGATTATAGGGGTATATTCATGAGCGCTCACGAGGCTACGTCACTGTATTCAATCGACAGCCTCGCGCCATCGCCGCGTGATTAGCATTGCACGTGGAATTCATCTAAAACAAAACTTATTCACAATATTGATAAGGTTGAAAGTTACTTCGATTTGGATTTTCGACATATTTTTCCCTTACAAATTTTTTCTTTTTCCTCAATTAAGGGAAAATGGAATTATTGGTTTTAGTTTAACGGTTTCTAATTATAGAATGTTTACAGGTAATTATGAGCTAACCTGGACTTTATAGCCTTCCATACATTACGTTGTTATACGTATTTACAGATACAGGACACATTAATTACAGCACTTAACATTACCTATAAAATATGTACTTACCAGCTGACTTGACAAACGTTGATCTGTTAATTTTTATAATGCCATTGAATTAACAAATAAATGTCGTATGTTTACCAGGTTCCTACAAGCGACGGAGCGCCTGTACGCTGCGGAGGGGCAGCGTCTGATGCGAGAGCTAGCGGTGCCACAGTACCTCGCACATGTCGAGAAGCGGCTACGAGAGGAGAATGAGAGACTACTGCACTACCTAGACCCCTCTACTAAGTAAGTCCTGAATCCCCAACAATTCTCCAATTGGTAGTCCCCAAATGGCCGGCTTTACCGGCCACTTGTAACGTCTCTGGTGTTCCGGGCAGCGCTGATTGCTTACCATCACGTGAAATCAGGTGATCTGATCAGGATCCGACTGGTCGTTTACTGGCTTACCCTATAAAAAACCTTCAAGAAAAGAGCGTACTCCGTTTTAAAAGGTTTTATGGTGTTGCGGTTGTCCATGGGCGGTCCTGATTGCTTACCATAAGGTACCAATATTCTGTGTTATCATTGTTTTGTAGAAATTGTGGTCTTGAAAGTTTTGGAGGCATGTGTTAAGATACTATCCATTATTAAAAACTTAGACATTAGCATTGGAAGTCTTGACGTCTGGCTATACTTAGATCGGAGTTTCCTTTATCCGTCTTATAAAATGTGTAGTTTTATAAAAGAGAAATAATTGATTCACCCGTTGAGATTTTTTTGGTTTCTCTAGAAACTTTGTTTAGGTTTTCTCACGTGTAATTTTATCTTTGTTTTGTGTAGATGGCAATTAATCCACACAATAGAGCGGCAGTTGCTGAGCGAGCACCTGACCGGTATCCTGGGCAAAGGCCTGGAGTCCCTCATGGACGGGCCCCGACTGGCCGACCTCACCACCCTCTACACACTCTTCAGCAGAGTCAAGGACGGACTCACGGAGCTTTGTAACCACTTTAATGCTTATATCAAGGTAAGTTGGTGCCATTCAAATGATCTTTATATCCCTTGTCGTACTTACTGGAGCTCTACCCTTTCTATGGAAACAGACTTCCTTTTCGAAACCGAACTGTTCGGCGCTGATATAGATGATGATAAAAGAGGTTTATTTTCAAAAAGGTAAGAAATTAAATGTTTCTTTTACTTAATAATAGTTGTAATCGAGTGTTCAAGGATGATGTTGCATTTATAATACGAAAACTAATACAATTAAAACTGCAAACTCATTTTTTTGTCTGCGTTTTCGGAAACGCTTCCGTTTACACCCTGTACATTCAACTGAATGTCTCTCATGAAGCAACTGCTCTCACGTAAGCTGAGGAGTTTGTTTGTCTTGATGCGCTAATCTCGGGAAGTACTGATTCTTACTTTGTGTTTTTACTGTCAATATCTTGCCTGATGGTAAGCGATGATGGCCGACGATGGAATTAGTAAAGGAAGGCTACAAATACATCACGCTACGACCTATAGAGATGGAGAACCTCTGTAGACGCCCTCTGCCCCATCTAGGGGACATAGGACTATAAGTACGATCATTAAGAGCTGAGCAGCGGGTGAAACCGCGCATGAGAAGGTAATGTGACTGCATGGTTGCGCAACCGGCTGCCGCGCAACGTGTAGCGGGTTCGATTCCCGCACGGACCAATCTTTATGTGATCCACAAATTGTTATTTCAGGCTTGGGTGTCATGTGTATGTGATATTGTATGTTTGTAAACGCACTCACGACACAGGAGAAAATGCTAGTGTGGAGCAGCATAAAAAAATGATCTCATTATAACACTATTTTTATTTTTTACAGAAAAAAGGTCGTACGATAGTAATCGAGCCGGAGCGAGACAAGACGATGGTGGCCGAGCTGTTGGAGTTCAAGGAGCAGCTCGACCACGTCGTCAACACCTGCTTCCAACGCAACGACAAGTTCCTCTACTCCATGAGGGAAGCCTTCGAGTACTTCATCAACCAGAGACAGAACAAACCCGCCGAACTCATAGGTAACCACAAATTATAAGGCAAACTTAAATAGCATTTTTTTAACAACTATCATGAGATATTATGTTAAATTAATTATACGCGTTACTGTTTAACGAGTTATTTCGACTGGCTTGAAACTTCAAGCCAAGATAAGAGCTCGTAGTCATCAGCGAGCGAAGGAACTGAATCGTGCAGCCAAATCTAGTTGTTGAATAATTAAGTAGCATTGTTCAGAAACTTATCACATATTCAATTCTAAAGTCAGGCAAAGTGTGATTAAGCTAGTAGTATAAAAAATTACTGACTCGATGGCAGTGACCGCAATTATACCCGGTATATGGGAATAGACTCACCCCCTATTACATGGGACTCATAACATAAATAGTGTAAAGATGGTGTTACATTATAAAGTGGCATGAAAGAAAAAGGCGTGATGTTATATATACATACAAACAAAAAACACGCCATATTCTTCTATAGCTTTAATCACATTCAGGTAAATCATATATTATTCTAAAATCATTATATTTTAAAAATTCCCAGCAAAATTCGTGGACGTAAAACTAAGAGCGGGCAACAAGGAGGCGACGGAGGAGGAGCTAGAAAGACTTCTGGACAAGATCATGGTTCTGTTCCGGTTCATACACGGCAAGGACGTGTTCGAGGCATTCTATAAGAAGGTATATCTACTTTACTGATACGAGAACACAAGCTACTCTAAACTGTCTTAAGATTTTAAATGAATTTCGACTTAATAATTATAAAATTATGATTGAAAATGTGTTGAGGGTTTTATGCATTAGCTTTTACTACTATTGCGTTGGGGTTATTCCAGAAATTATTACCGACTCGATTAATTCTTTTCCCATTATTTGCTATCTTTTATTGTCTTTTTTATTTTATTTATGCTGCATTGTGCCTGGTGCTATTTTTTTTTTCTTTCTATCTCATAAAATTCTTTTTCTATTTCTATCTTATCAGATACTTACATATAACATTCAGTAGATTGTGTAGTCTTATTTATAGGTACTTAATGAGTTATGATTTTTGTTTTATTGTAGGACCTCGCCAAAAGATTGTTGGTTGGAAAGTCAGCGTCAGTGGACGCTGAGAAGTCGATGCTGAGTAAATTAAAACAGGAATGCGGAGGAGGCTTCACGTGCAAACTAGAGGGCATGTTCAAAGACATGGAACTTTCTAAGGACATCAATATTACTTATAAACAAGTAAGCATAAATTTTCGTTATTCAATGTGAAGAAGTTCTTATACTAAATTCTAATAATATTCATGAGTTATGTAATCTATTTGAGAATGCTAGACTAGCTTCGAGCTAAATTGAACAAATGACGTTGCATGTTTAACTTGTGTTTGTGAGCCCCAGTGTAATTCGAAACTTATCGAGCATCTTCTAACTAAAATGTGTGACTTAGGACCTGTTTCACTAAATAGCGAGTATTACCATATCACCAGAACGTAATTTGTATGAAAGTAGTGAAACATGCGCTAAGATTATGGTGATGAGAAGTCCTAAAATATGTACTTTATATCAGCACTTGGCGGCGACGTCGGAGGGCGGAGGGCTGGAGCTGAGCGTGTACATCCTGACGATGGGGTTCTGGCCCACGTACGGCGCCGTGGACGTGCGCCTGCCGGCCACGCTGACGCGCCAGCAGGACCACTTCTCCAAGTTCTACCTCGCCAAGCACTCCGGCCGCAAGCTGCAGTGGCAGCCCACCCTCGGACACTGCGTACTGCGCGCCCACTTCGCGCAGGTACCGGCTACAGCACACCTTTATCACCACTAGCTATCACTGAGACATCCTTCATTTCTTTCCACGACTTTCCATCATTACAAAATATCATCGTGAACAACCAATCATGCGTCATGCCTCGAGAAAACAGATACCTCTGATCCAATCCGCATACAACATTGTTGTTGCATTGTAGTAGTAAAATAATTGCAAAATAAGAACATTTAATTTAAACTTAAACTAAACTGTTCCAGGGTAACAAAGAACTTCAGGTGTCGCTGTTCCAAGCACTCTGCTTGCTTCTCTTCAACGACGGAGACAACCTCTCCTTCGAGGATATAAAGGCTGCTACAAATATTGAGGTCAGTAAACCAGTTTTATTTTAAGGCATGCTATTTAGGGGCTATCTTAAACAGTATGCGTGATAACCGTGGTCAAATCGCCAATTGACTTGATTTATTGTCTTTGCTTGATGACTGACTCTTGTCGGAATACTCAAACGCTACTCAATTTTAAGTCGCCCATAAGGATGACTGCACGGTTGGTGCGGTGGCTGGGCAATCGGCTGCCGTGCAACGTGTCGCGGGTTCGATTCCCGCACGGAACAACACTTTGTGTCATCCACAAATTGTTGTTTCGGGTCTGGGTGTCATGTGTATGTGAACTTGTATGTTTGTAAACGCAACCACGACACAGGAGAAAATCCTAGTGTGGGGCAACGTATTTAAGAAAAAAAAAAGTATAGTTCTGTCTCCGCAAATTCTTTGTAAAATGACAGAGATGGCATATGATATTTAAGCACGACTCGATCTCTGGTCTATTATGCTCAAACTTTGTCCTGACTGACGAACAAGATTTCAATCTGATAGTCTTTTGAAAACGTGTATATTCTGTATTCTTGGGGAGATGTGTTGTGTTGGTAATAATGAGGTTGACAATGCGGCCGCCCGGCAGGAGGGCGAGCTGCGTCGCACGCTGCAGTCGCTGGCGTGCGGCAAGGCGCGCGTGCTGAGCAAGGCGCCGCGCGGCCGGGAGGTGCACGACTCCGACCACTTCTCCTTCAACGCTGACTTCACCAACAAACTGTTCCGCATCAAGATCAACCAGATACAGATGAAAGAGACTGTACGTACTACTTTCATTTTTTTCCTTTAAACACCTATAATTTTGGCGTAAAACAGGTATTTACGCTATAAACTCACATTATATTATTTATTAGGCTCACGCCTTTTATTATAATTACGTGAGTATATTTTTTAAGGTGTAAATATTTTAGTTCATAGTTATTTATATTTTAAATTGTATATAATTTCATTTAGTAATAGTTAATATTAATTTTATTTATATTATAAGTTATATTATAACTTAGTAAAAACTTAATACCCATTTTAATTACCCAAAACATTGTTTTTCGTATTCACACAGATATGTAGACGTTTCATTTGAAATTGACTGTTGAAATTAGTATACCATGAAAATTATCCTGTTATTAAAACAAGAAGTATATACGATAAAAATAATCATCAAAGACCTCTGTTCGATAAAATTTCTCCTTGGAAATGGAGAATATACCATGATATCTACGCTTTGCAAAGGATAGCTTGCCAACAAACGATTAACGTAAATAATTATAATTTCAGAGTGAAGAACAAAAGGCGACAGAAGAGCGTGTGTTCCAAGACAGACAGTATCAGATCGACGCCGCCATCGTACGAGTCATGAAGATGCGCAAGGCACTCTCACACAACCTGCTCATATCTGAACTCTATAACCAACTCAAGTTCCCCGTCAAGGTAACTGCAGCATTCTTTTTTTCTTTATCCTAAGTCAGTGAATGTTCTATTTTAAGTTGTTATGTAAAATAGGCACATTTCATTTTATGCAATAAAGAATTTCCTAATGTAAAACCATTGGATTGGACATCAGTGATTGACTAATAAATCAATATGTTAAATATGTGATTTTAATTAGGACCTCGTATTACAATCAACCTTCTGGTTAGCAAAAAAACGATAGACCTCATTAAAGGTGGTAGTTATCTATGCAGGAAACCAGTACTCAAGGAGCTGGTGTAAAATCCTTGACGCCGGTTGTCACTATAAACACTTTGGCTTTTTATGTGTTCGATCCAACTAAACGCTCAAATTTCTTAGATAAAAAATTTCACACAAAACTAAGATATTTATTTGTACTATTAATATATTTGTTCAGCCTGCGGACTTGAAGAAACGCATAGAATCGCTGATCGACCGGGACTACATGGAGCGCGACAAGGACAACCCGAACCAGTACAACTACGTGGCGTAATATCCGGCCCACAGCGGCCACGCTGCGTCGCCGCCCCGACCACGCTACTGCGTCACCATCACACTGCGACACCGCCTCTAAACTCGACCTCAATAAATGTCTCATCTCTATACCATGTTTCAACAATATGTACTTACAACTGACTTAATGAATGCTGTTTCTAAATGAGCCACATTTTATCAAATATTCTCAATATTTCCCTATAAGGTCTACTCTAGGTACTCCCCTTCTACGTCTCTTTAATTCAAATTCAGATAGACTAAAAGGTCAAAACTTTTCCCTTACATTTTTCAGGTACATGATTTTGATGTACCAAAATTTCTTGATTGTGCTACCCTACTTATTCATTTCAAATCCCTTATCTAATTATTGATTTTCTTTTATCTTTTCTGTACTACATGGCCCGTTTAGCAGCATCTACCTACAATCGCTGGCTTTGTACCTTCAAGGTATAAATGCAGAAGTATGTTGGTGAAACATAAAACGAGTCGTTTATGTGTGTCGTGGTGACAATGCCTCATGAAGTCTCGCCGAGCCGTGCAAGCCTGTACAGACCGTGCTCAACGCGTTCAGTAGTCGACAGCTTACACAAACTCCGCCGATGTACATTTTTTCGCTTCCCTACGTGTGTCGTTACAGTATACAAGTTAAGTGAGATGGGTAAAATACACATTCATACTACTATTGATAGATGTATGTGAAATATATTGTTCTTAATTGAAAAACTGCCATTAGGGTATTTTATTAGTTATGTCCGTAATTTTTGATAACTATTCTTACATAACTAATAGTTACCCATCTCTAATTTAACTTGAGAATCATTGTTCTCGTTTACAGTGTCTTAGTATTAAAGTTGACGGAATATTCCGTGGCTACACTATTGTCTATTATCCCTAGTAGTTCCCACACTAATACCGTAACATTGGAAATTATAATTTGATTTACTGGGTCAATGTTCAATTACTAATTCAGTAGAATTTAAAAGACTTCTAGAATGGCCGACTATATATCTGATAGCTCGTAAGTTACAGCTTTTCGATGCAATTCTACACTCAAAGAATGTGATTAACGTAATAAGTGCTACAGAAGTTATGATAAAAACATATTCTAAAATATATAGGTCTTTGAGTGTAGAACAACAGTCCATTTCCTCGAGCCAATAGCTGCAATAAAGAGGTATGAAGCTCTGGGTCCGACTTATGCGCTATATAATATAAATAATTATATAATAATTACACCTTAGAGATATAAAGTGTGATATTAGAGAATCGAGTACCCTCCGCTTGAAACGGACCAGTTATGATTTCACGAAATAATTTTATTTATCACATTACTTCATTTTCTCAAAACATGGGAGGTAAGTGCATATGTGCACAGCACAGATGTTTTAAATAACATCAACTTTATAATATCTATGATTTTACTTCAGTTAACTACTTGTCAGCTTCGTTGCGTTTTTAGATTTACTTTTTACATTTAATTACTGTTTAGAATTGAACTTAATAGCATAAGAAACTGAATTCATGACAACCCCTTGTGGTTGCCGTGTTGCAACGAAGCTGGCAGTGATATGTACGACCGCCATATTGCCGACGGCTGGGCTTCGTGTCGAGTTATCCAGTTTGTGTTTGTCCCCGCGTGTCTGTTTCTGGAGGGATCACTAATTAAACTATTTATAATTTTCCGTCATTGTTTTATTTATCCTTTCTCATGTATTTACAAGTGGCCAAGAATTCAGTGATGAAGATTTACAGATATAAAAAGCTTTGCAGGACTTTCCTTTCAGATATCTCTAAGTCGTTTGTCATAGCAATTACATTTAGCTTCTAAACTTTACAATAAATATGATACATATCAGAAACTAAGCAGTCTGTATTTAAGTAAGTCATTTCGCTACATAATACTGAAGAAAATATTCCAACAAGTTACACTATAAATAATTTATTTAACATTTACAATATGTACAGTACAACATATTCACAGACAAATTCAAATAATTTCATATAGGAAGACAGTTCAATAGTAAACCCGAAAACATTATATGCTACATTGACGTTAACTTACTACTACAAATGCCTAACTCCAAATCGAATGATTTTGCAAAGTAAAACAGATCAGATATCAGTCCATGTTGTAAAAGGAAGACAATGGAAGTACCAAGAATCCTTTTATTTTAGAGTATTGCCATGTAATAAAAATTGGATGTTGCAAGTAATTAAAATCTACGAATCGTGATAAGCGGCCAATGAAGCGAAACTTATCACGTTAACATTTATCACAGTGTGTTTTCTAACGGCTGATTGCGGAAAATAGAAGAAAGACAGATATTGCAACTACTTTAACTTGGAACAGTGCTAGAAAGAAGATATATTCAATTCTATCTATGTGTGTGTGTATTATGACGATTTTCAACTTTAAATGCTTGTTATTTAAAACCTAATTTGCCTATCACCCCTTCTCAGAAGGGAACGACCGCCTCAATTTCAATTTTTACAATCAAATGATATGAAACAATTCAATTTTCATGTAGATTTTTAAGTATAAATGAGTACTGAAGATCATTTGTTGATAACTTTGAGTACGGTGTCTAAATGATCCTTGTGGTAGTCGAGTTCCTCTGCAAGAGCGTTAGCTAGCGTGGTAGGCGTCACTTCTTCTTGTAAATAGTCGCGAAGTAAAATCTAGAAGGAAATTGTGAATGAATAAAGAATAAAGCTGTCTGTAGTAGCCATCGTCAAAAATAAAAATTTACTGCTAGTTTTTTTTTTCTATTCTGTGTAGTTTTTATTTTCTTAGTAGCTTCAGTGTTTCGCTTTCATATTGAGAGTAAGTCCCAATATTTGGGCCCCGCATTTGTTTCTTCATAAATTTGGATTTTAGGAAAAATAATACGTCATAGTTATCTCAAGCATTTAACATGAATCTCACTCATTCACTGCTATACCTAGAGATCAATACTTAACATCAAGCGAAGCGTCACCGATTCACGCACGAAGCGTTTCGCATCAAGCTTCCTTGTGCGTACTGCGAAGGAGTGGAATTTTTGGCCAGACACCCAGTCTTTAAGGGTGTCTTTAGGGCCCAAGTGAATAGGTTGCTTATGCATCGACGTACTCGATCGTAGACCTCATCATCGCTTACCACCAGACGAAATAGTGGTCAAACGTCGGCCCATAAAATTAAAAAAAAATCATGATTTTCCCTCTTTTTCTCTTCAACCTACCTTAGGTGGCACAGCGCCTCCATGTCGTAACAATCCATGTCTGAGATTATCTCCAGCTGTCCTGGACAGTGGTTCGTCCTGGAAATATTTGTGCCACACACTCCAAGCGATGCCGCGGGAGATCAGGTATGAATAGTACTTCGCTCCGTACCCTATTAAGTGGCTAAACCTATGCTGCCAGGCCTGGAAAAAGAATAAATATAATTAAAACCAGAATATTTTGTTTAAATCTTACTAATATAATAAACTAGCTTGTAGGCCTCAGATATCTGTTCATTTGCCTAACTTGCTGTTGTAAAGTGTACTTTGTTCTTGTAGAGAGAAAATTATGGAACAGCTGAAGACTGAACATTAGTGAAGGGCTGTGAAGGTTCCTAACTCACGATCATGTTTAGTTGTCCTCAAGGTATTTACTAGCATCTACTATTAATGGTACAAAGATGAACTCACGGTATTTTCAACATAAGGCAGTCCATAATATTGTTTCTGCACTCTCTGCAATACTTCTGTTGTCCTGCCATGAGATGATGCCTCTGGCCCATGGTAGTGCTGGTCCAATGCTGAATAGAACACCTGGGCAAATGAAAATTACCACTATAATAACGTGATTAAGGTTTAATTTTGCTAATACCAGTCTGACAGTGTCAAACGAAAACTATCACTATAATTATGTACTTAAGGTCTAATTTCGTTTGATTATCTTAAATTACCTGTAGCTGCATTTCGCTTGCTCCAAATAAATGTTTAGAAGCGCAGAGCCGGTTTAGCATATCTTCAGGCATCGGCTCCCGTGTTTGGAAGTGACGGGCGAAACGACGGATGACCTGTATTCATTATACAGAATAAAATATAGGTTTATGGTACATACGGACGGACGTATCATATCGACTACATTGGTGATAGATTAAAGAAGGGGCAAATTAAAACTTTCATGTAAAAAGTATGATAGTGTTGAGGAAGCAAGTCAGGTATGTAAGAATCGTAGCAATTGGCGTTCCATAGTCTGTACCAATCGTCATGGTAGACAGGCAAGAGGTTATGTATGCATGTATGGTCATTACAGCATACGTGAATATATGAATAATTCATTTATAAACTACATTTTAGCCGTCACCTTCAACCTCTTTTTTCTTTAAAGTCAGTTAATTAATGTAATAAAACCTTCTCCTAAGTGTAAAAAAACCCTTTTCTGAAAACCGCATCAAAATTGGTTTAGCCATTCGCGAGTTAACCGCGCACAAACATACATACAGGTCAAAATAAAACCTTCCCTTTTTGAAGTCGGATAAAAATTGATTTGAATCCATCGATTTTGGAATAATTTTGTCTAGTAATCAAGTGGAGCATACCTGTGGACTGCTGGCGAAGTACTCCATGAGTACGGAGGGCACCTCGGCGAGGTCGGTGGCGCAGCGCGTGCCGGCGACGTGCTGGTGCGGCGCGCGGCCCAGCATGGAGTGCAGCGCGTGGCCCAGCTCGTGGAACAGGTTGTCCACGCCGCCCGCAGACAGCAGCGCCGGGCCCGACCGGTGCCCGCCGCTCAGAGACAACATCACCACCACGATGGGGTTCTGGGGAACCACCGGATCAATCGTCACTACATACTAGGGTTTATCCTTACTAATATTATAAATCAGAAAGTGAGTTTGTTTGTTTGTTCCGCTTTCACGCCGTAACTACTAAACCGATTGCTTTGCAGACGACGACTAAATCTTTGCAGACGTAAAGTTAGAAGTCCAGATTAAATAATAGGGTACTTTTATCCCGGAAAAATTTGATATTCCCTAGAGAAAACAAAAGTATTGGTATAGATGGTGCTGTGTGTCTCGATATATGTCACAAAGGTTACTTTTATCCTTTTGTGACGCGAGCTTAGCCGCGGGTAAAAGCTAGTTATATCATAAAAAAATTAGTACAGTACTGATAATATTCGCCAGTACTTGCTTTGGAAGTCAAAGTCTCTACTTTGTATAAAGGAATATGTAAAGAATAGCATTTTACTCATATTCTGATGTAATGTTAAAACCGAAAAGTATTTTATATGCACAATAACTAAACATCAAGAAAAGAACTGTGTACTAAAATTCTTATTACACAGAATTACATTGAAGCAAATTAATGTTAAAGAAAAAAAAAACAGTTTCCTAGAAAGGGATCCCTACAAAATATATGACATTAAAAATAACATATAGTACACAAACCTGGTAGCTTCCGTCAGGCAACAGCTTCCCCCCCTGTATGGTGAAGTGACAGTCTTGGTGAGGCTTGCCGGGCCGCTCGTACAGGTCGCAGTAGATGTGGCCCAGCAGACCTTCCGACTCGTGCACCACTGCCAGCTTGTACACGTCCGGAGACCAGGATTCACCTACGAAAGCACAGCGTTAATTTAAGTGTTATTTTATCATAAAAGAGCTATCTGCAGTTTCACCTAAGTGTGTAATCATATGTTCATAAATCATAATTATATACATACACTTTTAACCCGACTCAAAATTCACTGTATCCATGGCAAAAACGACGTAAATCGTTCAGCAGTTTTCGAGTTTATCACGAGTAGAATAGAAGACGCGACAGAGTCACCATTTACACCAAATACATGTAAATAACAAATTACCTGGCAACATCTCCTCGGACTTCAAACTGATGCCGTACAACTCTTCACAGAGCATGTTCAAACCTTCCATGCAACCACCCAATGAAAAATAAGGACTGAAGTCTGAGTTAGCCACATTCAGGAGTTGTGCCTTCGCTTTGTGAGTGTAGTACGGCGTGTCCCAGCACATTAAGGAGTTCAAATATGGCGTTTCCATCATCTTCATTTGCAGCATAGCATCAAAGTCCATCTTAGCTCTATCGTACAGATTATCTGAGAGGATGTCAAGGAACTGTCTCACATTCGCTGCTGTCTCCATTGTACTCGCTTTTATTGCCCTGTGAAATAAAATATTATAGGGCAAATGCATATAGAAATACTCTACAACCTCTAAATAGTCAATATTCAGACAGAAATAAAAAATCTTTGATTTTATAGGTATTATAATTGTATAATACCTACTAGCTTCTGCCCGCGCAATCCCGTTTACTCCCGTTCCCATAAAATTTTGAGGATTTTTTTCTATCATAAGAACCTTCTCCTGATAATAACAAACACAACAAAAAGAAAATCAACCAAATCGGTCCAGCCATTCTCAAGTTATGGCGTGACAACGGGAAACGGGTTTCATCTTCTTTATATATATAATTCTGCTGTATGTGTGTATGTCATTAAACTCCTCCTAAACGGCTTGACCGATTTAAATGAATTTTTCTGTACGCGTTTGAGTGGCGCCCCGGATGGTTTAGATTTACAAATCAGCCCGGCAGATGGCGATGCAGTCGTGGTGTAAGTTAGTTATCCTAAACGGCTGAACTAATTTGAATGAATTTTTGTTAATACATTCAAGTGGATATGCAGGACAACGTCTGTCGGGTCCGCTAGTTTTTATATATATGATTAATCATTTATCTATAACAGCATGATCTATCAGAATCAGAATCAGAATATTTTTATTTGTATTTGTATCCAGAACCAATATCTATTCGTACCTATCAGCATAGCTCTGGAAGCCGCATATAGTAGCCATCTCGTGCCTGGCATCGAGGGTGGTGGACAGTAGCTGGTGCTGCAGCTTGTCGGGCGCCAGGTACAGCCTGTAGGCCGCCTCGCGCGCCGCCGCCTCGCCGCACTCCGCGTACACGCCGCTCACTATTATATCGTCACCTTCGCTACTGAAACTGGAAACAAGACACACTTTCATTGTTTATTTGTTCTCATTTTTCAAGCAAGAGCTTTTCATCTGAAATGAACATACTACTAAAAAATGTAAAGTCTAAAGCATTTCTTGGATATTTACAAATGTACCAGACGTCACAATGAGACCAGAAGATATCACTAGAGGTATTCCTTCAATGATATCTTTATACTGTGGTACAGAAACAAAATTGTGACATACTAAATTAACTAAAAATCGCGAGAAATGCCCTACTAATTTCGAAGCACAGAGGGATTCTTCCTCATGAGCAGCGTTCGCGCAGCCTATTGTAATGGATTAGTAGGCTGCGAGATATCGCCGCGACCGCGCACGCTGCTCATAATATAGTCTTTTACATAATTATACTTACAATTGTCTAATATTAGCAGGTACAACAGACCGTGGTACCCTTCTCGGTTTCGCCGCTCCGGCCATAAACCTCTGTCCAGTTTGAAGTATAAGGTCATTCAGAGCTACGACCCTTCGACGTCGCTCCTCAGCTAACTGGATGCCACTCTGCTCAAAGTCGAAGAGGAATAACTCGGCTAAATGCTGGTCCCCTGACGTCCCGCGCTTTACAGAGTCTCTTAATGCTTCGTAAAGTCCTTTATGAGTGTTTAATCTAGACATTGAAAGAAGAAAATTAATTGAGTTATCCAAAAAAATTAAAAAAAAACTGCATCGTTGTCCTCCAAGTGGTCGCCAGTGCGAATGCCGGGCAAGGGATCTCGGGTTCGATTCCCGGGTCAGACAAAGTATTACTGGGTTTTCAAAAAAATTATAAGTAGTAGCACGGAGTCTGGAACTGTGCCCGATATATGGCAATAGAAGGCGAGATGTTGTGTAAAAAAAAATTAAAACAGGATGTTATGGGTCACTTACTTTTCAACAACACCGCTAACACTAATACAAGCATCTTCAGCAGCACTTGCGAAATGGGACTGTGGGTGAGCTATCCTCACAAACTCTGCTAGATCAGCCACCTTGCACAAGGTATCGGACAGTTCATCAAAGATCTCCACCATGGGACGGGTTGGGTTTGAAGTAGCCTCCTCTATCAATCGGTCTGTGGCCGCAATTGCCTGATCTCTCATACTGAAGAACCCTTCGAAACTAACTAGTTCTGGCTTGTTGAAGAGTCCCTGGAAACAAGGCAATGTTACTTGTGTATAATTTGAGGGTCATATTCACCATAATGTATGAATGTCGCTCATATAGTGAATTGTATGTTATATGTTTTTAGATTGAGGGCTGAGGTATGTTAAGTATAATGCCTAATTTGAGAACATTACTCTTCAGAAAATTTGTTAAATTAATATTTTTATTAATAAATATAATTAATAAACAAACAACTACAAAAAATGTGATTTGATGTTAGTGTTGTTCCAGTATATATAATCAATGTTTCAGGAGATGACAATTTAGCAAAATAATAATGAAATATAACATTCAACATTCTTCGTTTCAGACTTTTGTTAGTGCATTGTCTTTTTACCAACTTTGGATATTTGTGTGCATAGTAACACTTGATTTATTTATTCATTTACAAATATTTATCTATTCTACATTAGAACACACACTTGAAATACTAACTGTTTCAAAATTTAGTTCCGACATATTTTTACGGGACACCTTGAAAATAAAATATCAATTTAAATCTTTGTATCTAATGAAATATTTTCACAAACCATAATTAAAAATTATGAAAGAATAAAATGCTGTTAACTACTATTACAAAACAACTGACTGGGCAAAGACCAGTAGAAAAATAGAAGATGGTTTCAATGTAAATACTCTTTGCTTACAGTTCTTTCTCGCATTGAGTCAAAAATAGGTCTAGATGTTGGTCGAGTGTTGAAGGCAGTGGCCAATGGAGACCAGGTGCTTACACAGCGACTCAATTTCTTCCTGTGCCCCAGCCGTAAAGGCCAAGTGTTCTTTAAGAGCTTCATCTTCATATGATTTCTTTCTGTAAAAGAGAAATTGAAAATTATGCCTTATATATCAGTATTAAAAACTAAAATTTACTGAAATGTACAGTAACAAGAATAAAAATATATTTTTCCAAGTATTTTGAAGTTCCATATGTTTTTTAATTTATATAAAATATAGATAAAGTCAAATGTTATATAGGAATAGTAGCTTATCACATACATGTGTCAATTGGGAAAATATTCCATCAACTGATTAAACTAAGTTCATACACATATAATCATAGGTACACATAGGCTGTCTTTTGATGTTTACTACATTATCGACTTACACTGTGATGGTGAACAACTTTCACATGCGATAATGTATTGTATCGCGTGTAAATAAAGGCCATATTAGAAAGTACCATAAGAAACTTAACGGTACATTTTCCTTCAGAATTTACTACAGGACATTATGATATGCGCAGTAATCGATGTTTTGCAAAATTTCCTTCCCTTTCGCAATAGCTAAATGTTTTTTTATTTAATACCAGCACGTATAGGTTGGTCATAGAATAACATACCGAATGTGTAGAATAACAATGTTGTAGACAAATTAGTCACTTGAAACCCTTGTAAAAATTATATTAACTATGAATGAACACTTTTTAACTCAAAACTAACATTTTATTGTGATTTGTGACGAATCTGATGAAACCCCTTTGAAAATTCTTTATTTTCAATTTTCTGTCATTCGGTAATCTTCTGTCTGTGGAATGTCATTTGATTCCATTGACCTTCTTAAAGTTTCAATCAGTATCGTTTTAGTCGATTTTTTCATTTGCATCGATTATACTCGAGTATTAGTTGATTATTCTTATTTTATTATTTAATTAAAATAGTTGTATTCAAAGTTGTATTAAGTTTTATAATAAGGCATATTCAATTTCATTATTATCAAATTGAGTGTAGATCAGAAATAATAGGATAATAAAAATCATAAATCGAGGATGAAATCGAAATCAAGTATCGAGTGATATGCAGTATCCGAACGTTAACATTTTTATTTATTCTGTATCTGTAATAATCTATATGAAATAACTGTCAAAACCATATGCAAATTCTTGTCACTGGCTGGCCTGGCTCCAGCACCGCGATTTTTACTTTCCGATTGATTACATACAATGAGTATTGTTTTGGCTACCGCAAACTCCAATTAACAATGACTGTATAGTTTACAGATACTTTCGGTGAATGTGATTTTTGTGAACTATTGACTGGTTCTATTGTCATAATGGTAAGGTTAAAAACATACTGCAAAATTTTAGACTTGGCGCGCTAGTGAGTTTGTTATAAATTTTTTGGTATTGTTCAGTCGACCCCACCGCCTCAGCAGCCGCGGCGTTCATCAGGAGAGAGTAAAAAGGCACCGCCTGCTTCTAGTGTTGTGACCAGAAATGGTGCTCGCAAGGCCAAGATACAAACGCGCGCAATGTCCGCAGGTGCTAAGGTAGGTAATAAATTGTCAATATAATGCGCCGCCGCCTACACGTAGGGTCAAAACTAGATGTCATGCTATGCATACAAATACCGTATCTATAGCTAAATGCCTTACTGATTGAGACATTAGTTCACTGTGTGAGAGTCAATCTAATAAAATCTAAAATAAAATCTAAACACACATAGCCACGATTTTAATATATTAGGAACTGAGATAAATGAAACACATAAACAAGAAAGAGTATGATTTCAGATATATGCATACAGTATAATTCCAGAACTACTAGGTAATTACTTGAATACTTATTTGTTGAGTAGATAATTTAATATAGTAAAATGTATGGTAAACTGTGTGTGTAATCTTATTGCATAGATAACTGTGTTATCTCAAGATACAAGAGTATATTGCAAGCAAGATATTTAATTATCAGCTAAATACAGAGCAGTCCTTTCTTAATTAGCTTGTGAGAATAATTACATGAATTCCAGTACAATTCAGTTTTTAAATTAAAACTTGCTGAATAGATTCTGGTGAGCAACCTTTAATTAAGAATGTAGTAGTATAAGAAATTTAATAGCAGTATAGACTTAGCAAATTAAAAGCTACAACTTAACCCTTAACTATCCAGAAAGCTTTTGTGACGTAACTGACCAGTAGTGTCCAACAGACTCATTTTATAATTATAAGGTATGATGAAAGAAAAGAAAGATATTTTGAATGAAAAAGACAGTATAATGTATTTCAGTAATGTGTATTTACACTTATTTACTTATAGATATTACAATTATTATTTTTTTCAGAATATTCAGTGCATGTATTGCGTTTGCATTCAGCACAACACTGTTTAGAAGCACTTGATAATTTCGAAGGGAAAATATTACAACGCTTCTTCTTTTTTCCATTGTAGCTTGATATATTGGATTGCCAAAGATAGGGCACCAGTATTCTCTAAAATCTACACCTCCCTGTTTATTGACGCTTATAGTCAATAAAAGACCTCGGAGTACTTGCATTTCGATTTTATATCTATTAATTTCCATCGATTTTGTAAAACTCTAAGCCCTTCAGTATTGGTATATTTTACTATTATTTGTAATACGTGATCGTCGAAAAAAAAGGCTGAAACTGTCTATCGGATCTATTATAGTTTGGCCCGGAGGAGGAAGAATCACCTTATGGATACCGTCGCGAATTATGTTGTGTCGAGGCGTTCGGTTTTGCCTGTTAGGTTCTGATTTCCACGTTGTTATCTCTTCCTTTATAAGTGTAAATTGAGACTTATTCTTGTAATCATCATCACTCTTACTCCATAATTGTTCATCATCGTTTTCAGATGCTGGTTCTGTGACATTACTTTCACTATCAGAACAGCTGTCAACAGCAAAATTTTCATCATCACTATCGCACTCATGGACAAAAATGTTTTCATCGTCACTTTCAACAAGGGCATGTTGTATTTCACTTTGTGTTAGTTGCTGTTTAGCCATAACATTCAATAAAAACGAATTAGAACATGACTACATTATGACAAGAGTTTCTGATTACTGGTACTTGATACGATTACAAAAACTATGATGATAACACAAACAAAGGTCTAGCAACCGCTATTGCCTACCCGACACCATAAGATTATAGGTAAATGTAAATAAAACAATCTACCTTCACACTTGAATCAAATAAAATGATATTGTGTCTGTTGGACACTTCTGGGTTGATGAAGTACTATTTTCGTTTATTGACCAAAAATAATAAATTATTCACGTTACAAATATTTTCATTGCACATTTAGATTCGTAAAACATTGGCGATAAATTAGATAAAAGGCCAAATCATAAAAATAAAAACTTTAGTTTTTATAAAAACATAAACGCAAAATTGTGTCCGCGAGACACTTGTGGGTTGTTAAGGGTTAATCATCTCATAATAATCCAGTAATTATAAAAAAAGCTTATAATAACAGAAACCACAGTCGGTATCTCATAGAAACATTTGACATCACAGAACTATAGTAATACATATTTAAAATAATTGAAACTTATGGAATCATCATAGAAAAAAAAATATATTTTTTGCGAAAAAAGTCATACAATGTAATAGATATAGAATATTTTTGAATTTGTTACATTTAAAGAAGAGATGGAGATTGTCATAATGTTTCAATCTGAGCCAATACTTTTACATACAATACAACATTCAATGATGTTGCAACTCCACCTCCACCACTATACCATTAAATTAGAGTACAATCAGCACTTTAAAAAGGTTATGACCTCTGACTCGTATTACTCACAATGTCTCACAACCTCAATACACTGTATACAATTACCCTATTTATCCTTTTCGTTATTATGTACATTGTACACACAAAGCTCCATAAATGAGCACAAAGAATTTAATACAATCCAATTCTATATTTTCTTGGATGACGCTAACTTTAACTTCCCTTTTTCTAAAACTGTTGCCTCACTCTTGGATTTTCTACTGTGTCTTGGGTGCGTTTGCAAACATACGATTTCACATACCCATGACACACAGACCCGAAACAACGAGAACACAAAGAGTTGCTCCGTGCGGGAATTGAACTTGTTAAATGTTGTGTGGCAGCCCGTTGTCCAGCCACCGCACTGCAATCGTGCAGTGCCTATCTTCTATTAACTATTACATGTTTTAAATGAATGAGATAAGGTATTAGCAACTGACTTACTATATGATGAGCTCATAACTTAAGGCTAGTTAAAATGAAACTCTTTATATGAATAAATTTTAAAATGATATAAGCATAATCTAACATGTTTTATCTGTATCTTTTCAATTTATTATAGAAAAAAATATTTTAAATAAAAATCGCGGGTTAATCACGTGAATATACGGAGAAAAGCTCTACTAGTTTCGAACCACAGAGAGGTTCGTCCTCATGAGCAGCGGCGCGGTCGCGGCGATGTCGCGCAGCCTACTTAATCGCCGCGACTTAATTTAATATGTCTCACTATAGTGATTATAAATATGTATTTTTTTTTTCACAAATCACAAAATTGTCTTTGACACTGGACACAAGATTGTCATTTTTGTGTGCAGGATTTTCATAACTGTCGTTTTCAAGTGTCAATCAATTAAACGCGTGATTATTTCAAAATATTTTACTGTATTAAAAGTCAAAATAAATGGTTTTTGACTGTGGAAACTGCACTACCCAATTATACTTAGCTTTACTGACTATATTCTGCAATCAAACAAGCACAAAAATATCAATAGCCTGAGAATTGAAATGAAATAATATTTTGGTCAATAAGGAATGTGTTAACTAAAAATAACTCTATAACTCATATACTGAGAAAAAATCCTATAGTAGTCCTAGGATGTATTTCTTTTTATACCACGACTGTGGCAAGGGAAGCACACGGCCCACCTGATGGTAAGTGGTTACCGTGGCATACGAACGCTTGCAACACATGGGGCATTACATGTGCCTTGCCGACCCTTTATTAACCTATTTACTCCTTCTTGACGAACCCCATACTGTAGCCCACCGGGAAAACCTTGGCAG